GGTCAGCAGTTCAAAACCACCAGCCACTCTGCTTGAGAAAAAGGAAACTTTGTAGGTCTAGTCTGTCTTACAGAATCAGAGTCACCTCGATGGCAGTGTGTGAGTAGCTTATGTTGACATGAGAGATTGGCCAAAGAACTGGGAAAGTTTGCAAGGGAGCATTCAACCACTGTGCCACCAGGGCTGCTTCCGCCTGCTTCAGTAACACTAATATGGAAAGAAAAAAGACTAATTGTTTTAGTTGGCTCTTTCAAAGGTATCAGTTAATACTACTTTATTTGAGACTTGTCCTTTTTATTTGCTATGATGGTTAAGCTCATGTGACTGTGCTTTTTTATTCTCCCTGTGCATTTATTATTGAGCAAATCATGTATGCCTTCAAATACCAAGCTATATAAGTAGTTGGCCTCAAATCCCATTAAGTGCAGCATTTTAAAAGGACTAAAACCAAAGAAGATATTCACTGAATATGTAACTATGTTTTTTTTATTTTTCCACATTGGAGAGGTTGAGCATAATCTACTAGAAATGCAGAATTAAGGGCTTCAAAATTAGGGTGTTTCCCATCTCTAAGAGGAGCGTTCGTAATATTTCTTCCTTCCAGATTTGTAAATCTTGGAAGATGGTCACTGTGTTTTTCAGTTCCTTTCGCTCTTTCCCTCCACGTGTCTTTTACTGTATGTGTGCATTTTATATAGAGTGAGTTATCTTTTCCAGTTCACTCTGTTCCTTTGTTGTGTTTTTCTTGGACAATTTCCTCATGCCAGGCCCTTCCATAAAGTTGACTACAATAGAGTACTGGCTTATCCATTTTTATTGTTTTTGTCTGTATGTATAATTGCAGTAAATAGATGAACAGATCCGTTTTTAGTCTTTAGCACATTAGTTGCTTTTCATGGCACTTTGGAAGACTCGTTTTCTTTCACTGCAGTCACTTAGGGTAGAATGAAATTCTAATCTGCAGTGAGTTGGCCTTGGGGGGAGCCCAGCCTTACAGGTGACCAGCCACATGATCTCCAAAATGTTGACTGACCTTTCTAATATCTTCTCATCTTTATAATCAAGTTTACTTCTGTCAATAGTTATTGTGAGACCTAACTAATGAGGGGAAGCAAGCCAGGAGCACATGGAAACTGAATCCCTGTTAGTCTGTGCTTGTTGAAATGTGCCATTTCTTTCATTTTTCATTTCCTTTTTCTCTGAAATCTTCATTGCCATTCTTCCCTAATCTTCCCTTCCTTTCCTTCTTCTTTTTTTCCTTCTTGGTGTAAATCTCACGGAAGATAAACAGGGTAAAAAAGCTCCATGCCATAGCTCTTTTCTCTCAGCCAATCAAATGCTTCAGCTCCCTCCCTTCCCTTCATTTGTCAGTCAGCAAGTATTTAGTGAGAGCTCCTAGGACGCGAGAGTCCTGCAGGAGGTAGCTGACTACTTCATTCTGCTTTACAGTTACCCAAGCCTGTTTATCCAGTCCACACAAATGGAAACCCAGTCCTACCTGGAACAAGAAGAACTTCTTCAGTGTTAATCCTTTGTTAATGAATTTGTTAAATTAGTCTCTGCTGACACTGAGAGTACTTTGTTATATGTAAGAGATTTTGTTGTTTAGTCTATACATAACTTTAAGTATATTGTAGAGAAAGATGCTCTTTCAGCTGAGCTGAGGAGTGTCAAGTGAGGCTCAAATTTGTGCTGAGCGTGCGTGGTTAAGGAAGACGTGGCTGGAACCAAGGTGCTTTAAACTTACTCCTTTTAAAGGTGCAGAAGCAATTGCTTTACGGTCTGAGGGTGCTTTTATTATTCAGATTTGATAAAGGTGCTGACGAAGTATGTTTCAAGTATCTGTTCAATGTAATCTAATGTAATCTATTTCTGTATAGTACACTTTATTCCAGAAACTTAAAAATATAAGGGCATCTTTTAAATTATAAAATGGGCAAAAGAAAAGTTACTATCACAGATGGGAACGTTAAAATAGAAGCTGGCATTGAGCTTGGGCAATACCTAGCCATGATCCATATTCATATTAGAATCCATATTCTTGTTAGACTATATATATATTTGGCCACCAAACAGAACATTCATTTTGCAGTTCATGACACAATATTGGATAAATGAACCTTTTGCTTTGGAGAAATGAAACTACTCCTGTTACACAATCCTGATCCAGGTACTTCATGAGAAAATGACCCTGAATGCAAAACAATCTGTGAATTTCATAGTTCTATTTCCTATTAAGCAGAACCCCGTGGACAGACCTTGTGGGGTAAGCACTGGATGGCTAAAGGGTGGGTTGTGGTGGTCCAACCTACCAGCTGCTCCCAAAGAAAAAGAAGCTGTCTACTCCTGAAACGATTTACAACTTTGAAAACCCTCTATAGAGCTGGAGTGAGTTGGAATCAGTGTGATAGCAGTGGGTTTATTTCGTGCAGTGCTTGGCTACTAACCAAAAAGATGGTCTTCAAATCCTCCCAATGCTCCACAAGAGAGAGAAAGAGATGGCAGTCGACTTGGGGTCACTAATGGCAGATGGAGTTAAAGCCTTGGGGTTACTAATGTCAGAATCAACTCAACAGCAACGGTTTTGCTTTATTTTGTTTTTTTTTGTCTCAGTAGAACCATCTTGATGGGTTTCTAAGACTAACTCGCTACAGGAATAGAAAGTCCTGTCTTTCTCCCTTGCAGCAGCTCGTGGTTTTGACTGTAGGTTTCTCAATCAGTTCTTCTCTCTTTCTTTCTTCTTCTTCTTTTTTAAAAGATCATTTGGGGGCCCTTACAGCTCTTATAACAATCCGTACATCAGTGGTATCAAGCATACTTGTACATATGTTGCCATCATTATTTTCTAAACATTTACTTTCTATTTGAGCCCTTGGTATCAGCTCCTCTCCCCTCTCCAAAGACCCCTGGGTAAATTATGAATTATTATTTTCATATCACACCGACTGCTGTCTCTCTTGGCCCATGAATCAGTTGTTCTCAAATATCTTTTTCAGATGAACATAATTTGAGCTCATTGGACAGAGACTAGTTGGAATTAATACTAATCTGAATTATAGGCTATCTGCAGGGGGGCGGGTTAAGGATGGCAAGAAAATAATTTTTGTGTACCCCAAAGGAATATTTTTATAATCATGAGGTCTTCCTATTTACCTGAATCTTGCAGAATTAGGTGCTGGTTCTGAATAAGCTTCAATGTGTTTTGCTATGAATTTATTGGTCCAAAATAATTATTAATAGACATTATTGTCATAGACATAAAAATGCTGTGATTATGTGGTACTCATTGTGATTTTCCTTATTAATAATCTGCCTAAAAGTTAGGTACCGTGTACTTACTAACAACTTACCACACGGCCTTTTAATGATGAAAATGGATGGTAATGAGCTCAAAGGCAGACTAACAGTTGACTGGAGCAGTAAACTAAGAATCAGGAACGTCTGTCTCTAGCCTGGGCTCGGTGATTTTATGATTCTGGTCATATCTTTTAAGCACACCGCATTTCAGCTTTCCAACTGTGAAACTGAGCTCATAAGAACTGCCCTGGTCTGTCTCACAGGAATGTTGCATGGACAAATTAGATAAGTGTAAAAGTGCCTCGGAGGTAAAGCCACTCAATGAATAACATTTAGTGTGATGTAGTGACTGAAAAGTAGGTTACAGAGACAGAAATGGTTACTCTCTGCAGACCTCCTGAGTAGATATAGTTTCATATTGAATTCCTATCAAGCAGACCAAACACATCTCCTTAGTTCCTGACTGTGCCAGATTTAATGGGAAAAACCTCTTTACCACATTTGTTGCCTTGATACCAATGTGCATTCAAGATGGATCATGTTTGAGTGAAATAAAAACTCCTTCCAAATACCTCCCAACAATCCATACTGTCTAGTTTACTGTTTTTGTAGTCATTTTGAGGAGGGTGAGAATTTGTTTGCTTATTGATTGAAAAATTAGGGGGCTTCCAAAAGTTTGTGGCAAAATTCCATTATCTTTTCTTTCCATTTTGCCATGAACTTTTTGTTACTTCCTTAGACGTTCATACACATACTAAACAGTGTATTAGGAAGAGATTACTAGAGGCTTATCTCAGTTACTAACAATCACTGCTTTTAAGCCTGACTTTACCAAGTAGATTTCTGTGGTGGTTATTCTATAGAACTAGCAAACTCTGATCCTTGACCTTACTTTATGTTTTACTTTGGTTGCTTCCATTTGGGGCAGGCACTTTCTGTCCTGGCAAATATCCTCATGCGTAATCCTAGCCATCCCATAGGTAGAGACGTTCATTGCAGCGTGCTAAGACATTTGACGGCATTACACATTGGGATGCTAATCATAAGGTTGGCAGTAAAAACCACCAGCTGCACCGTGGGAGAAAGATGAGGCTTTCTACTCCCGTAAAGAGTCACCGTCTCGGAAGCCCACAGGGCCAGTTCTGCCCCATTGTATAAGGCTGCTATGAGTTGGAATCCACTCGGTGGCAATGAGAAGATACATTTGATGATGATCAAATCTCCCCAGAGAAAGAAATATGGGAGGAAATAAATAACCTTTCTTGAAAGAATCCTTTAAATCAGCAGTTCTCAACCTGTGGGTCATGACCCTTTTGGGGGTTGAATGACCCTTTCACAGGGATCACCCGATTCATAACAGTGGGAAAATTACAGTTATGAAATAGCAATGAAAATAATTTTGTGGTTGGGGGTCACCACCACATGAGGAACTGTATTAAAGGGAACTGTATTAAACAGTATTAAAGGGAACGGTATTAGGAAGGTTGAAAACAACTGCTTTAAATGTTCTTTCTCTATTGCATTCTCTTCTTACATAAAGGCAGAGGCTTTCTGTAAAAGTTTACAGTATTCCAGTGCTCAGTTCTTGTGAAGGAGAATTGAGCAAATTTTTAATTGATTAGAAGCAACATAAAACATTCTATCTCAGCTAATTTTAGAAGCATTTATTCCTTTGCCAACTTATCTCCTTTCCTCTGTTACAGGGGACCATTCCTGGTGGCACTGGGGAAATCCTGGCACCCAGAAGAGTTTAACTGTGCTCACTGCAAAAATACTATGGCCTACATTGGATTTGTAGAAGAGAAAGGAGCCCTGTATTGTGAGATGTGTTACGAGAAATTCTTTGCTCCCGAATGTGGTCGATGCCAAAGGAAGATCCTTGGAGTAAGTACTGGAAGGCTTTTTATGTTAAGTGAGTTTCAGGACAGCGTAACTTTTTGTTACAGCACACTTTGAATCTCTGTTTTTATTTTCTTCTTGCTCTTTTCCCTCTCAGCTTTCACCACCATGTGGTTATTGTGAGGCAAAACTAAGTGTAGGAGTATATCACACTCATGGGTTAGGTTGTCTTTGGTTTTGTCTTACTGAGTGCTGGCTTGTCTGGTGGAAATCTGGCCACTCTGTGGAAAACATAATTTACTCCCTCAACAGGGCCCTTTTTGCTCAGTAATGAAGAGCTCGCAGAGGACCACACACGTCAGAGTTCTCGCACAGCTGACACCTATACTGTTTTAAATTAAATTCTAGAGCTTTTAAGCAGCAGCATTTCCCCCCTTGTCAGGGTTCAAGTATAGGACATATATCTCATGAAATATATAAAACGTGAAACTTATAAATGGTATGTTTTTCTTAAATATATATATATATAAAACATTTAAAAATATAACCTCGGTTTTATGAGCTTGCACATGTGGTGGAAACATCATTTCAAAACCTTATTTTGAGTATTTTTGGTTTTTTATTCTGAAAGACAAATAATTTAGGAATGAGATATATAATAAGTACAAATAAATAAAGGTACTGTTCTAGAATGCCCCATTTGCAGTTCTACAGTAAGGATCAACTTACCCCCGTGAGTGACTGTTGTTCTGAGGTGCCATCGACTTGGCGCCTGTTCGTTGGGACCCTGTGAAGAGAAGATGAAACGATGCCTGCTCCTCTGTCATCCTTGCAGTTGCTCTCAGGTTTGACCCTATGATTGCAGCCACCAAGTCAGTCCATTCTGGCAAGGACCTTCTTCTTTCTCTGTCCCTTTATTTTACCAAGCATGGTGTTCTTCTCTGGATACTCGTCTCTTCAATATGTCCACAGTACATGAGGTGAAGTTTCACCATCCTTGCCTCTGAGGAGCATTCTAGCTGTGCTTCTTCCCAGACAGATTTGTTTGTTCTCGTGTCACTCCGTGATACGTTCAGTGTTCTTCTCCAGCTCTACAATTCAAATACATTGATTCTTCTTCGGTCTTCCTTTTTCAGTGTCCATCTTTCACATGCATATAAAGTCATTGAAAATACCATGGCTTGGGTCAGGCAACTCTTCGTCTTCAAAGTACCGTATATACTCATGTATAAGCCGAGTTTTTCAGCACTTTTTTTCCCAGCACATTTTTTATGCTGAAAAAGCCCCTCCTCGGCCTATACTTGAGTGAGGGTCCCACTTACCTGTTCTCCGGTGCAGTGTAGGTGTTCTCTAGTCTCTCCTGCTCATCTGCTGGTGCCTGCAGCCTCTGTGGGTGGTCCAATGACTGCTGATATCACAGTTTTTCTTTTCTTCTGCACCTCGGCAGCCTCTGTTGTCCATGCTGTACTGGGCAAGAACAAGAACCTACCCGCTTCTGTGTGCTGGTACCTGGGGCGCACCGCATCCTTGTCAGATGAATGTTGGCTATGGCTGCTCTTCTTCTCTTGCTCTTCTCCAGGGCTGTGACCAATGATGTAGCCTTTACAGTGCTTGGTCACGCCCCCTTGCTCCACCCAATCTTTGCTGAATACAAGTACTGGCATATCTCTGCTCTTGGATATACAGTATGTTGATTTACAGTACTTAGCCTGCTATATTTTATTTTTCATTTTCTTATTAACACCTATCTGGACCCAGTGTTGACTGTGCTTGCATAGAGCAGCCTATGTTAGGGCTCATAATATACACGCTGAGTTGTGTACGCACTGTGTTACTGCATGTGTTGCATTAGCACTTCCCATACATAAGCGATAATGCTGCGCATGCAGTAATGCAGCACATGCAGCAACACAGTGAATGCGCAACACAGCGTGTATGTTATGAGCCGTAACACAGGCTGCTCTATGCAGACAGTCATTCATCACGTTCTGGAATATCATCAGCCGGCGTTAGGCCTCAAACTATTCAAGCTGCATTGTGTACATTCAGAAAGGCAGCAAATGTAGTAATGCAGTGGATGCAGTAACACAGCATGTATAGTTATTGTTTTTGTTGACCCTATTTTCCATTTACAGAGCTAGCTTACTGTTTTTCTTTGAAATAAGTATTCAAAACCATTTAAATTATTGATGCCTCAATTAATGTAATTTTATTGAGATCAGTTTTTATTTTGAAATTTACCAGTAGCTGCTGCTTCATTTCCCACCCTAGGCTTATACTCGAGTCAATTAGTTTTCCCAGTTTTTGGTGGTAAAATCAGGTGCCTCACTTGTATCCAGGTCCGCTGATACTCGAGTATATATGGTAACATCTCCTTGCCTTTCAATACTCTAAAAAGGTGTTGTGTAGCAGATATGCCTAATGCAGTGTGTCATTTGATCTCTTGACTACTGTTTCCATGAGCATTGATTGTAGATGCAAGCAAGATGAAATTCTTGACAATACCAATCTTTTTCCTCTATTTATCATGATGTTACCTACTGGTCCACTTGTGAGGATTTTGGTTTTCTTAACATTGAATTGTAATTCATACTGAAAGCTATAATCCATGATCTTCATCAGCAATTTCTTCAAGTCCTCACTTTTAGCAAGCAAGTTTGTGTTATGTGTATATTTCAGGTTATTAATAAACCTTCTTCTACTCCTGATGCCGCATTTTTCTTCATATAATCCAGCTTCTCTGGTGATTTGCACAGCATAAAGATTGAATACAACCCTGACACACACCTGATTTTAAACCATGCAGTATTCCCTTATTCTGTTTGCATAACAGCCATTTGAGCTATGTACAACTTCTAAATGAGCACAGTGAAGTATTCTGGAATTCCCATTCTTCTTAAGGTTATCCAAAGTTTATTTTGGTCCACACAGTCAAATGCCTTTGCATAGTTAATGTAACACAAGTAAACCTCTTTCTGGTCTGCTCTGCTTTCAGCCAAGATCCATCTGACATCAACATGATACCCCTTGTGTGTTAGTCTGGGTAGACTAGAGAAACAAATTCATAAAGACACATGTATAAGAGAGGCTTTTATATAAAGGCTAATTGTACATTGAGAAAGCATCCCTACCCAATCCAGATCAAGTCCATAAGTCCAATGTTAGCCCATATGTCCGATACCAATCTATAAAGTCCTCTTCAGACTCATGAAATACATGCAATGACACCAAATGCAGGACGATCACAGGCCTGTGGGTGCAAAGTCTTTTGGATCCAATGGCAGTAGAAGCATCTCAGCCTGGCAGGGGTCTCCATGTGGCTCCTCCAGTTACCAGGGCTGCATCAGTGTAGGTCTATGTGGCTTCTGCTCAGGGATGTCTCACAGGCGGTCAGCGTTGTGAGTGACAAGAGAGAGAGTGTGTGTGTCTCCCGTCTCCAAGGAGGAAATACCGGATTTCCCAGAATTCTCAGGAGAAGGCTATGCCCACACAGAAGCCTCTTTGGCTGTGACCCAACTGACAGATTAGACTCCACCCCTTCACTCTTAAGTATCCCAAGTCCCAAACTGACACCAGATTACGTAACTACCACACCTTGTTTCACATCCTTTTCTGAATCTGGCCTGAACTCTTGGCAGTTCCCAGTCACTGTACTGCTATAACTATTGTATGACCTTAAGCAAAATTTTACTTGTGTGCAATATCAATGATAGTGTTCTATGGTTTGTGCATTCTGTTGGGTCAACTTTTTTTAGAATGGGCACAAATACGGAGTCTCTTCCAGTCAGTTGGCTAAGTAGCTGTCTTCCAAATCTCCTAGCATAGACAACTGAGTGCTTCTTCCGTTTTCTGAAATATTTCAGTGGGTATTCCATGAATTCCTAAAGGCATGTTTTTGACTAATGCATTGGGTGCAGTTTAAACTTCTTCCTTCAGCACCATTGGTTCTTGCTCTTGTGCTACCTCCTAAAATGGTAGAATATCGACTAGTTCTTTTTGGTAGAGTGATTTTGTATTCTTGTCATCTTTTCTTGATGCTTCCTGCATCATCCAATATTTTGCTTATGGAATCTTTCAAAATTTCAACTAATTCTTAAAATTTTTTCTTGTTCTTCAGTTTCAGATATGTTCTTCCCTTCTGGTTTTCTCATTCTAGGGCCTTGTATACTTCATTATGATACTCGGCTTTGTCTTCTCAATATGCCCCTTGTGATTTTCTGTTCAGCTCATTGACTTCTTCCTTTCTTCCATTTACTTAGCTACTCTACAATTAAGAGTAAGTTTCAGTCTCTTCTGACATCCACTTTGATCTTTTCTTTCTTTCGTCTCTTTTTAATGACTCCTTTCTTCATGAATGATGATCTTGATGGCTAGGTCTTTTTTTTTAATACTTTTGTTGGGGACTTTTACATCTTTTATCACAGTCCATACATTCACCCAGTGTGTCAAGCACATTTGCACATATGCCACCATCATCATTTTCAAAGCATTTTCTTCCCACTTGAGACCCTGATATCAGCTCCCCATTTGATGACTAGGTCTGCTATCATTAGTGTTCAGGGCATCAAATCTTTTTCTTGAGATGTTCTCAAAATTCAGGTGGGATAGACGCCAGGTCATATTTTGGCTCCTGTGGACTTGTTTTAATTTTCTTCACCTGTATCCTAAACTTACATCTGAGCAATTGATCATCTGTTCCACATTTGCCTCTGGTCTGGTTTTAGCTGCTGATACTGAATTTCTGCATCATGTCTTCCCATAGATATAGTTAATTTACACACCACTTTTTATCAGTCCTATTGGCAGGGGACTGCCCTAAACGTGTATTAATTCATTAGCATTTTTGCATATTCCAGAGCTACTCTGGAAACAGCCTTTGGAGTCAGAATCATAGTCCCCGGTGGTCAGAATGTTTCTGTGGCAGTCAGGCAGTAACTGCGGGACGTTGTGTGATGTGCATTTTCATGAAAGAATCAGGCTTGTTTTGGCAACCATTATGTTACCAGTATCTAACATGAGACCTGGTGCTAAATAGGAATTCAGTGAATAGGAGGAATGTACCTGGCACTCGTCTATTAGTTTCTTACACACCAACTACTAAAGTCAAGGTTGAAGAAATTGAAGAATTCTACTAACATCTTCAGTGTGCAGTTATTTAAACATGCAATCAAGAATCATTGACAAGTACTGGTAATTGGAATGCAACATTTGGAAACAAATAGAAAGGATCAGTAGTTGAAAAAATATAGCCTCGGTGATAAAAACAGTGCAGAGCATCCAACGGTAGAATTTTGTAAGAACAGAGTCTTCTTCAGTGCCCATACTTATTCAACAATATGAACGGCAACTATACATTTGGACTGTTTGGACCTTGTCAGGTGGAAAATACAGGAATAAAATCACTTACAAAGGTGAAAGAGTTGGTCCGAAGGCTGTGGTTTTATGTTAAAAAAGAAAAAAGGATGAAAATAGAAGGTGGAGAAACTGGCTATCAGACCAAAACAAGCTCAGGGACTGACTAGAACTGGTTCTCAACCTGTGGATCGTGAACCTTTCGGGGGGATCAAATGACCCTTTCACAGGGGTCGCCCAATTCATAACAGTAGCAAAATTACAGTTAATGAAGTAGCCATGAAAGTAATTTTATGGTTGGGGGGGTCACCACAATATGAGGAACTATATTAAAGAGTAGCAGTATTAGGAAGGTTAGAACCACTGGACTAGAACATACGCAGTTAAGGTTCAAACTGAAGAAAATGAGAATCAAAATAAAAGCTTGAGTATATCCCACCTGAATTTAGAGACCATATCCAGAGCATCTATGACACACTGAACAAAATGACCAAGGGAGCTGTAGGATGATTTAAAATACATCAAAGGAAGAAAGGAAAAGATCATTTTAAAAGCTTGTTTTTGAGTATTGCTGCTGCTGTTCGGTGATGTCCAATCTGCCCCATCACTCCAGAACAAAACACCACCCTGGCATATGCCATGCTTACAGTTTTTCTTATGTTTGAGCCCATCGTTGGAACGCACTGTGTCAATCCATCTTTTTTCATGAGCCTTCCCCTTTTTCAGTATCATTCCACTTTACCAAGCATCATGTTGTGTCCCAGGGATTGGCCTCTCCTGATAACATGTCCAAAGTACATGACAAAGGCTCTCCATCCTTGCTTCTAAGGATCATTTTGCCTGTACTTCTTCCAAGATAGATGTGTTTATTCATTTGTGCTCAGGCAGAACTTGTGCAGAAACCAAGAGGCAGCTGTTCATTAGGACATTTAAGCAATTGTGCATTGCTTAAAATCAGGAAAGGTGTGTCAGCCAAAAAGAGGAAGACCTCAATGAGATGAGTTTACCCAGTGGCTACAACAGTTGTGAGGGTGGTGCAAACCAGACGGTGTTTTTTCTGCTTAGCATAAGGTTGCTGTGAGTCAGAACGGACTCCATAGTAGTTAACAACAACAAAAAAAAAAGCTTTTAGAACTCTGTGCAGTATTAGGACTTGCACCTTCCCCTAGACTCAACAAGCTCCTCAGAACAGTTACGGAAGCTCAGTTTGCCAAGCTCTGGGGCTGGGAAGGGACTATGCCTAGATAGGGGTGTCATCAGAATGAGTACCCAAGAAAACCAGAGTGTACATCCCAAGGGAAAGAGTAGGTTTCAGACAGTACAGTGGCAGCCCAGCTTGCTCTGTACAAATGCCTTTGTTACCTAGTGCTGCCATAATAAAAAAATACCATGAGTAGGGAGTGTCACAATTTAAACATTTCACACTCAACCAGAAAAGAAATTGATTTACCCATCGTTCAGGAAGTTAGAAGGAGGTCATCCTTTATCTTTTTCAACTTCTAGTAGCTGTTAGGAAAGGGCCCTAGTGGCATAATGGTGACACTTTGAACTGCTAACCTCAAGGCCTGCAGTTTGAAACCACCAGCCACTCTGTGGGAGAAAGACGAGGCTTCCTCCTCCATTAAAAGCTATCACCAATTACAAGGATCCACATGTGACCTCCTCCCTGGGGGAC